GAGCCCCCGTCGGAGCCAGATCCGGACCCAGCCTCGCGCGACGCTGCAGCCAGCCCCGGCCTGGACGCGCCCCCCGTGCCAGGACCCCCGCCAGGACGGGGCGCCGAGCCCACCGCGCGTGCGGAGGCGGAGGACGGGCACACCTCGAGGCTCTTTGCCGACCTGGAACCCCAGCCTGCAGTCCGGCGTCGGCGCAAGGGAGTTGGCGGACCCTGGGCTCCCGAGCCCCGGGCCAGCGTCCTGAGGGGCATTCAGGACCCTTGGCAGGGCCACCCTGCCCAAGTCGCCACTTCAGGGGGAGTGGACAGAGCCCCCTCAGGCAAGGCCACTGGGCCCCCAGAGAGCACCTCGGAGGACAGTGACGTCAACATCACCAGCGAGGAAGAGGACTGTCTGGAGCAGCCTGCCCAGGAGCCCCGTGGCCCCAGAGAGAAGGACGGCAGTGGCCACGTCCCTCGCGCTGTCCCAGAGAGCCAGGCGGTGCCACCAGAGGGCCCCTGCTGCTACATCTGTGGGTCGGCGCTGTCGCTGGCCTCCCAGCACGAGGTCCACGTGCAGAAGCAGGAGCGGCTGCCCCAGGCGCCCTTCTTCCCCTTTCTGTGGCTGCACAGCCCTCCGCCCGGCGCCCAGCCCATCAGTGAGGCGGGCAGCACGCTCGTGTGTCCCTGCTGCTTCGCGTCCCTCCGGCAGCAGTGGCAGAGCTTCGAGCTGGCCGGGGTGCCCGTCCTGCAGCGCCTCTACGTGGTGCCTCTGAACAGCCACGCCCCTGGCATGGCCTCCAAGGGCAGGCGGCCCCCCAGGGAGGAGGGCCCAGCTGGTTTGGCCCTTCCCGAGGCCTGCTACCTGTGCGGCGAGGACTGCACCCCGGATGCCCGGGCCGTGCCCTCCCGCATTGTCAACGGAAGCACGCGTGGCACCATGCACTTCCCGTTCCTCAGCCTCCTGCCCTGCCCGCCCAATGCCCGCGCCCCCAACAAGCACTCTGAGGTCCGAAGCTGTCCCAAGTGCTTCAGCGTCCTGGAGGACGTGTGGGCCCTGTACCGGGCCTGCCACAACCAGGAGCTCATCACCTCTGTGCAGGGCTTCCTGGGCCGCTACCACCAGGCCTTCTCGGCCTCCGACCCTTCCGTCTGCGACCCGCCTGCCTCAGCCCCCAGTGGCCCAGCCTCTGTCTGCTACATCTGTGGGGCCGAGCTGGGCCCTGGCAAGGAGTTCCAGCTCAACGTGAACCCTGCTAGCCGCCTGGGCGAGAAGGAGCCTTTCTTCCCCTTCCTCACAGTGTACCCGCCCGCCCCACGCGCCAGGCCCGCTGACGCCACCGGCCTTGTGGCCACCTGTGTGCTCTGCTACCACGACCTGCTGGGCCAGTGGCTGCAGCATGAAGGCCAGGGCACGCACCATGCGGTCAGCGCCTGGTCCCGGCAGTACCAGGTGGACACCTTCGTGTGCTTCTTCTGCCAGCAGGAGAAGCGGCGCTGCCTGGGGCTGAAGTCGGTGCGGGTAGCCCGCCTGCCCCTCTTCCTGTACACCCTGCGAGCCAGCCACAGCCTGCTGGTGGATGATGGGCGGCAGCTGATCATCGGCGCCTGCTTGGAGTGTGGGACTCTGGTGTGCGCAGGCCAAGGGCTCACTCGCCCAGGGCCCATGGGGTGGAGCTCCCCGGTGGCCACAGCAAGAAAGGTAAGCAGCACGTTCACGTCCATCTCGTTTTAGACCTTCCTCTGAAATTGTACGGGGAAAGGAGAGATGCTTTGGGTTTCTCTGGTTCTGTGCAGTCTGTCGTAGCAGGAGGTGCCCTTCCTGGGTCACTGGGCGTGCACTTGGGTGTGTTGACCCTGCTGAGGCTTGGGGCAGGGGTTCAGCGGCTCAGGGCACAGGAGTGGTATGAAGGAAGATTAGGACAGGCAAGGGTTGGGGCATGTTGGCCGTGGGATCTATCAAACAGGAAGTTGGGTGCATGGCAGTCGTCTGCCTGATAATACTGGCGATCAGTGCCGTGACGCAGGCCGCCCGGAGGTCCCTGCAGAGCTCCTCTCCGCCCTGGCTGCCGCCCCTGAGCTCCTCCAGCGTTTTCCTCCAAAGTTCACGCTTCTCGTTTGAGACTTTCTGGTGCTTAACAGCAGATGGCAACAGATTTCCAGACGTGGGGGCGTGGGACGTGGGGGTGTGGGACGTGGGGATGGTGGCCTCACAGACTTCCCCCAGCGGTGGCAGGAAGTCCTCTTGTGCAAGTCAGCTCTGCCTGTGGGGCAGTGGGTAGCCCCTTCCAAGGTGCTGCCTCCCCGGAGCCTCCCTGGGCTCGGTGACTGGGTTCTGGCTTTGCCCGAGGGGCGGCCCTGGAGAAGCAGGGACACAGAGGAGCATGGCAGTCCCTCTCCTGCCCAGTCTCCGCCAATACAGTGGGTTGTGCGGCTTGGCAAAGGCCTGTAATTAGCGGTAGCTGCTGGCCAAGGGCTGCAGTGGGACATGAGGTAGGGACAGCGTCCCCGTCCCGTGAAGGACCGTGCATCTGTTGGGGCATGACGTTGCGGTGCTGCTGTGATAGACTCGTGTGCCCCATTTGTGGGTTGCCTGAGGACTCCTGTATTCATGACACGGACCTGGCCTCGCCTTTGCCCACCTCCCCATGCCTTTGCGCCCTACCTGGCACTACTCCTCCACATGCGTTGGCGGTGGCCTCAGAGCTGTGGGGATTTGGCGGCCGGGCTCTCAGTGCAGTCCCCTGGGCAGGTCACCACTGCAGAACGGGAGCCTTTCATCAGTGGCATGTGGCCATCCAGATCTCAGGCATCGCTGAGAGTCAGAAGTACCGTGGTCCCCAGAAGCCTGGTGCTGTGCCAGGAGGGGATCGTGGGCCCTGGAGCAGGGCCAGCCCTGGTTCTGGGTTTGCCCTCTCCCTTGGCCAAGCCACCAGCCAGGATGCTGTCAGGCTCCTTGGACACGGTTGGGAACTGTCAGCTTCCTTGGCTGGGACGTGGAAATACACCCACCCAGAGGGGGGCTGGCGGCACTTAGAGTTGGAGACACTTCAGTGCTCCCAGGTCAAGCACTTGCCGCGTAGTGGAACCTTCACGATGTCACCGCATGTCAGGGCACCTTCATCTTGGATGTGGTGGTTCTGAGCTGCGTGTCCGGCTGTGGGGACAGCACTGCGTGGTAGTCGGGGCACCTGGGACACGGGGTGTTTGGTGATCCCATGCAGTGGACGGGTATTCCCAGGTTTGCTTGTGTGCCAGGGTAGGTGAAATGCAGGCTGTGACCTCCACCGAGCAGACCTGGAGGGGGGAGAGAGCCTTGGTGGCCCCAGCTTGGGGGCTGAGACTCGCAGGCTGGTGTCCACCCGCAGGAGAAGCTCTACGTCCCGTGGACTTGTGCCATTTCTAAGGTGAATTGTCCCCGGCTCTTTCCTGTGTCCCTGAGCCTTCTTATTCCCATTCCACAGATGAGCACCTTGAGACTCAGAAGCCAGGTGGCCTTGGGGAGCAGCAGGTGTCATAGGTGGGTTTCGTCCTAGGTCTTCTGCTCCAACCCATCTCAGCCGAACCTTGGGGTGCAGAGACAGAGAGCTGGGACAAAGGGACACGAACCCTGCAGGGACGCTGTGGGCACCGTGTGCAGAGCTGGGGGATAGCGGGACAGAAGTGCCTGGCCCTGACGTCAGGGGACAGGAGGAGGCAGCCGTGCTGGCTGGCTTCCCAGGGCCAGCGCCTGGATTCCCGAGTCTTGCTCGTGCCCTCTGCCAGCCTGTGGTTTGGGGATGTGTGTGGGAGGGAGCAGGCACATCGGAAGGTGGCTGCAGGGAAGCCACTCTGTGGGGACGCATTCCAAACCCTGTTCCTGCCGCCACCCTTGACTCCTGGGCTGCTCCCTGTTAAGGGCTCGTGCCCCAGCGATCGGCCTTGAGAAGGGACAGGAGGGCAGGTGGGGACAGTGTCCGCCGTGGGGCTCTGTAGCTGCCTCCGTGCTCACCACGTGGGTCTGGTGGGGTCCAGCCTGGGTGCGAGGGCACCTCGGAGAGTCTGCGAAGCCTGGAAGGCCCAGGTCCACTGCAGGCAGCCCCAGTTTGAGTTCTCCTGCCCCGGGCTGGCTGTGCGGCCTCGGCTCGGGCGCTTGCCCTCCCTGTGCCTGTGTTGGTGAGGCGGGCTGTCCACACTGACCGAACCACACCCCGGCCGCGTGGAGCTTGGGACCCCGTCCCTGTCACGTGGGCAAGAGAGGCGTCCAGAGAGGTCATGCAGCTTGCCGAGGTCATGTAGCCTGCAGCAGCAGGCCTGGCCTTGGGCCAGGAGTCCGCCGGGGTCTGTCCCCCTGGGCTCCAAGGTGTAGGTGGCTGTGTCTGGAGCCGGCCCTATCCCCTATGGGGGGCGGCCTCAGGCCTGGGCGGCGGGCAGCTCCGTGTCCAGGAGCACCCCGCCAAGCCTGGGCGTGGCCTGTGGCCCAGAGCAGGTGTCAGCCGAGGCCATGGAGGTCTGCAGCACTGGCTGTCGCTGCCGCCTGGCTGCGGCTGCCCGTCCGTTCCCCCTGCTTCCTGGCTCCCCGCGCCCACGTGGCAGCCCCTCTGCAGCCTGGACCCCCAGCCAGGACGCACAGGGGGCCTCTGTGCGGAGCCAGAGTGCCTCCCCGCGGGGAGGTCTGCGCTACCCTTGGGGGACTGGGAGCCATCTGGCAGAGGTGTAGACTTCGCAGATGCAGTCTGTCCCAATCCTGGAGCCAATGGAGACAGCGGGGAAAGAGGGAGAGAAGGCGGGGAGGCCCTTGGGACTCAGCCTGCCCCGGCCCAGGAGGGGAAGAAGGGCGGGCAGGGTCCACACGGCTCCAGCCTCTCCTGCGTGTAGACCTCCGGAATCCCCGGGGAGGGAGGTGAGCCCCACTGTGGCATCTCTGGGGGTCTGTAGCCCCAAGGAACCTCTGGAACCCAGGTCCTGCTTCCACCATGGGCCTCTGTTCTGCTGGGGAGGGGAGAGGCCACCTCTGGCCTCTACAGGAGCTTTTCAGGACTTCTTTCGTTTCCCATGTCACCTCGAGTACGGTGCTCTTGGGGTGCTATGGGGGAGACCCCACTGGCTGTGTGACCTGCACCTGCGTCCATCTTCTGAAGGGAGAGACGAATTCAGTGCTCACAGGAATGGCGCCTGCCAGTGGCCCCGGATGAGGAGACGTCTGAGGCCAGCCGAGGCTGCTGGGAGCGATCTCTGGTTCCCGGGGCCCCTCTGTGTGATGCCAGGCCCCGGGCACTGAGACTGCCCGCATGGTGACGAGGTAGGGACAGAGAGACTCACACTCAGCGTGGTTCTCGGGCGCTTGCAGCCAGGATGGCAAGCCTCCCAGTTGGTGTGGAGGAACACGGCAGACAAGGGCTGCACCTGCCCGAGGCCCCTGGGTGTCCCCTGCCCTCTGCGTCCACAGGCAGCAGGGCCTGGAGCACCCAGTGCCCGGCTCAGATTGTAACCTGAGTCTGTGGAGGGGCTGGCACCCTGCACTAGGTCCGGTCCAGTTCTGCAGGGAGCCCCAGGAGGGTGGGGGGCCGAGACCTGAAGAGGGGCCAGCAGCCAGCTCCGTGCGGGGCCCTGTGCTCCTGGCTGGGGCTGGGGCCGGGGCCCTGCTCCAGCGTGGGGGTGGGACTTGTGGGAGCGAGCGGTCCCCCAGGGGGACAGGAGGCTTGCAGGGTAGGCAGGGCTCTCTTGGTGCGGTTGGAATCCCAGATGTCCGTGGGAACCAGTTCCATTCAGTGATGCCAGTGGAAAGCTGGGCATGACAGCAGGTGCCTATAATGCCAGCACTGTAGGAGGCTGAAGCAGGAGAATCTAAGATCCGGCCCAGTCTGGTCTGATGGAAGTCAGTAGAGTGCCCAGTGGGGCCTGGGCTGAACCCCGGGCTCTGAGGAGGGCCTGTCAGGGCTTGGGGCGTGGGGAGTGCTGAGGACACATCAGGGCCTGGTTGGGCTATGTGTCAGCTCGGGCCGACTCTGACAGAAAGTTTTTGTGAAATGGAGATAATGCACACCCCAGGAGGCACGTCCTTCTGAGGTACCTGTGGCATGAAGTTGAGGCGAAGTCCTGCAGTAGCTGTCTCGGGACTGCCGGTTCCTCCTGGGGGAACCTGGACCCCGGCGTCAGTCCCCACCCCACCTGCAGCTGTGGCCCGTGTTGCAGGCTGGGCCTGGGCCCTGGGGAGATCACAGACACACCAAGGACCGCTGCCGTGGCTCTGTGTGCAGCCCACTGTGTGCTCAAGGCCCCGGGTGAGCGGAGCCAGAGTCAGGGCCAGGGTCCCCAGGTGGCAGGTGTGGCTCCGTGTCCCTGGGCCCTGCTGTGTGCTCCTCTGGCTCTGGTGATGGTGAGCTAGCCTCCTGTCTCCCGGGAAACCCTAGGGTTCCCTTGCAGTGACCGGCAGAGTCCTCTTTCCAGGCCCGGGTGGGCCCTGGGGCAGGTGCAGCAACACTGCTTAGCTGTCCCCTGCAGGTGCCTCTCACCTTTGTCAGCTTGGCAGTTGGGAAGCGGCCAGCCAATGGCGTCCAGGCACCCCGGCTGCAGGCCTGCAGGCATGGCGGGTCCCTCGTGACTCGGGCACCGCAGAGTTGGCTGTAGGGCCGGGCCCTGGCTGTGCAGGCAGGAGCAAGGCCCTCCACCCTGCAGAGCAGAGCCCCCACATGGCCAGCTGCCCTGGAGGGACAGGGACAG